AAGTGTCCTGAAAGATATTATTAATAGGAACGTTATCCCTACAGACAAAAATCAGAAAATACAATTGACAATTCACTACAAAAACCAGAAAATGGCCAACCTACTCATGAAAAACTTCTCAGACATAGAAATATAAGCATACTTAGCAAGAGGGTAAATATAAATATGTTGTGGATTCTCTCTCACATTGACCTGCAGGAACAAGATAAAGTTGACGCCCTTGCTAAAGCTGCAGTAAATAAAGACAGCATTGAACGGAATCTTGAGTTATCAATTAGGTCCCTTAAAAGTGTCATTAGACAAGAACTTCTGGCTGGATTTGAAGAAAGTAGAACGGTGCAAACTTGAACTAGCAGGTTCATTGTTCATCACAATGAAATGTGTGAAGTAAAACATGTGTATGGGGCAAGTAACAAAGTAAGTAGACTAACAGATGTTGTCACAGCTCGAATAAGACTTGGCTACAAGTATCACTGGCAGTTCGGCTTGTATAGGGATCTAGATGAAGTAAAGTGTGTGGACACAGACAGGGACACACACTCGAACACTATATCTTGGACTGTAGTAAAATTGAGCCCTTTTGAGATAAATCTAAGCTTACGCTGTATGATATGGCAACCTATCTTATTACCTAGGATAAAATACCTAAAATCCTTGCACAGTATCCATATTTCGCTTCCAGTAGATAAACGACATATGAGATTAAGAAACTCAGTATTGTGAAGACTATTAATAAACAGAAGCTCCCCTATGACTGTAGTATATCCATTGCTCAAACAATTATGTATTAATGATAAGACCTACTATTAATGTATAATGACTTACTGTAAATATATAACTCTTGAAATAGAACATTCTCTGTAACTAGCTAACATGTAACTATAAGGTACGAAGGATAGGTGAAATTGTTTATGTAATAATCTAAGATGAGGTCTGATAAAGACCTTTTGTGCCCTCTGTAATGATTTTTGCGCTACCGCTCACAGGATGGGTATGGGGTGTACAATAAACAAAAATAAGAGCAAAAATCAATAAAGCAGGAGATGAAGAGCATAGAGAATAGCATAAAGTTATGCTGCGAAGATGCTAGCCTCCGGAGGCAGGCGACACATATAAGTGTGGTCAGGAAAAACAACAGAGTAGCCTACACCGTCTGCAGACTTAGACCCATCGGTGAAGATGGAAAGGGAGCGGGAGTGTGAAGAAAAGTGCTCCAGGAAAAAGGGGTTTCAGAACCGTAGGAGAGGTAAAAGCTTTAGTGATGCGGGTTAAGGAAGAACAAATTTTTGGAAAGGGGGACTCTCCACGGGGGCAAGGACGGAACAATACGAGGAGAAATATTATAAATACGAACCGAAAGAGAATCCTGTAGGCGAGATAACCGGACAGAAAGAGGGAGGTGGTGAAGAGGAACAGGAACTACAGGAGGGGTAAAAGTTAAAGCATGACAGAGGCGAGAGGAAGGATGTTGCAAGGACCGCACAAGATAGCGAAGACAGTAGCGATCACAGCGGTCCTGGAGAGACAGGAAGCCAGTGTCAACATACAAGCTGAGGGCGGGAGTCGAACGAAAGGCACCAGAACTGAGGCACAACCCAGTATGATGCAACGCATCAAGACGGCGAAGAGTAGAAGGAGAAGCAGATGAGTAAGCAGGGCAACCATAATCGAGCTTAGACAGGACGAGAGAGGAATGTATAGCAAGGAGAGTGCGCCTATCCGCTCCCCCAAAAGTATGGAACAAAACATTAAGGAGGGTAAGGGCCTGAGAGCATTCAACTCTAAGGTAAGAGATCTGGGGCGACCAAGACAAAAGAGTGTCAAATATTAACCACCAAAACTTAGCGGAATCCTTGTACACAAGGGGATGACCATAAAGCGACAAAGAATGACACGCTTCCGAGTACAAGTCATAGCACAAGTCTTAGATGCAGAGAACCTGAAGCCATGACCGGTGGCCCAAGACGACACGGCATTAATCGCAAGTTGAAGCCGCCGTTGAAGGAGAGGCGAATCATCACCCTGACAGCAATGGGTAAGATCGTCGACATAGAGAGCGGAGAAGACGACAGAAGGAAGAGAGGAAAGAAGACCAGTGAGGGCAACTAGAGTAACGCTCAGAACACTACCCTGGGGCACACCTTCGTATTGCTGAAAAGAGGCAGAGAGAGAGAGTGGTACCAAGCCTCACTCGAGAGGAACGACGACGATAGAGGAAACTTTGAAGAAAGAGAGGGAGATTACCACGAAGGCCAAAAGAATGAAGTTGGGACAGAATATGATATCGCCAAATGGTGTCGTAAGCCTTTTCCAGGTCAAAAAGGACAGCAACAACGGAGGTCTTCGCAGCAAAAGCAGTACGAATATTGACCTCCAAGTTCACCAGGACATCTGTCGTGCTGCGGCACTTGCGAAAACCAAATTGAGGAGAGAGGTGGAGATAGCGTTCTAAGAACCACATGAGACAAACGCTAACCATACGTTCAAGGAGTTTGCAGAC